ATTTAGTTTGTCATAGATCGTCATAAATTATAGCCTATATGTTATTCTGGGTTATAAACAATTACTGTAAAGTTTAATCAAAATCCGTTCAGTAGTTTTTGCGTGAAAGAGTAACAAACTTCCATACAAACTTTCGCGTTTATAATATTAGTAGGATTGTTTGATGCTCGTACTCGTATACATTTTATTTTGCTGTTCCCAACAATATGTGAATACAAAATGAAACTGAAATTAATATTTTTCACACGTTATATTTATTCAGTAAAATTAAAATAAATACAACGTGTGAAAATATTAAGTTATTATAAAAAATATTATCATACCTACTTACATAATTCCTGAATATGTATAACTCAGGCATTGCCCCTGTATTCAAAGAAGGAAAGAGAACCATCTAAGTCAAAGTCAAAATTTCTTTATTTGTTTAGACTAATAAATAGTACTTACAAATCGACAAAACTTTACATGTCTCAAAATCTTTTTACCCTAGCGCTTCGAGACCAACATTTGGCATGTGCTGAGAAGAAGCGCCGCAACAAACAAAAATCTACCTATATGTATAAGTATAGTATCTTAAGCTTTTATTACAAATCTTCCTAATAACAAAATTACGTAGAGACACAGGTGTGTAAATATTAGAATTCCACAAACCTCAAGTGCCCACCTGTAACTTGACAATACCCAAATAACTCGGGTGTTAAAAATTCTGGATTCTGGCCCCGAGCCAGTAATGTCGATCGTCCCGACCGTAATGAAATCCCAAAGTTATCGCCGATAGCAGACTGTTTGCCCCAAATGCAAATATTCATGTAAATTCACAAATATTTTACACTCGCCCTAATATTGGAGAGTGCGAATTTCAGGCTCGTATAATGTTTTGGGCAAGCCTGTCCATAGAAGCGGAGCGAGGTGTTGGAGCCACCAAAAGAATATACAGGGTGACTGGAAATTAGTGTCACATAGTGATATCAGTCAGAATAACCCAAGACTACCTCCGTTACTAATTTCCAGTCGCCCTGTATAAAATCTCCGCTCCGCAACACTAGACAGGGATGTTGAGAGCTAGTTTAAAAATTCATACAAAACTGATAAGCAGGGAAACGGAGCGGAAAAGCGAAGCACGGAAAAAACAAATGACTTTCGCTCATGGCCTAGCTCCGTGGATGGAAGAGAAAAGCCGGGTTTCTATCAAAGAGAAGAGCTCTCCTCTTCGCTGTGTATGAATTTATCTATCAGATTTATTTATTTTCACATCACCTCTCCGCTCATATTGGGTTTAGAAATCCGATTGGTTATTCAAACACATCTCTCTCTTCTCCGCTTTAGTGGAAACCACCCTCGCTCCGCTCCGCTACATCTCTCCGCTCCGCTACCTCTCCGCTCCGCTACCTCTCCGCTCCGCTACCTCTCCGCTCCTGTAGACAAGCAGCATTAGGTTGCCTAAATAACCGCGTTATTAGAAGTGCCTTGAAGTCGTTTGTGTGTTTCATTCCACTTAATGACCCACGCAACGAGCAAGACAGAAAGCGAGTTAAAGTTTAATCTTTTAAGAAACTACAATCCGGTAATATGAAAGAAACTGGGTTGTTTGAAAAGTCAAACATGATTTTAACAACGTTTCTTTATTCTGTAATAAATTAAAGTACCTGCTTTGAACATTATTCAAAAGCTAAGAATAAATCACGTTAAAAGATTTGTAAATCTTACTATAGCTATTTTAATAATGTTTAGCTACAAGAAAGTGTTTTTAATATCACTTTGTGCCTTATTTTAAAATTCAGTCTAATTTATAAAATCAATTTATTCATTTAGACGCTGCAATTATTACACACACACAAAAACTGGAAAAAAACATTACCCTGCGTAATTTCTGGCGCACGGTCGGGTAAAATTGCTTACATCTGTGCTACTATTCGTAGCTACGAATGTTACACATGCTACGAGTCCAAATGAATGCTACGAATTCTAATATTTGCTACAGAAATTGCTACGTTACAAAATTAATTAAATTAAAAACAGAAAAGTTTTTTAAATTTTAATTGCTTCATTATTAATTTTTATAATGGCCTGCATTTAGCGCCTTCCTGCAACCTTTAGGAAGTCGTCGGTCCACCTTGTGGGTGGACCTCCTACACTGCGCTTTCCGGTACGTGGCCTCCACTCCAGAACCTTGCTTCCCCATCGGCCGTCAGTTCGACGTAATTATGTGCCCTGTCGATTGCCACTTCAGCTTGCTAATCATTGGGGGAGGCCTATGTTCAGCAGTGGACGTCCTATGGCTGAAAGAATGATGAATTTTCGTATAGTTGTAGGAGAAAATTAATGTTAGTTTTTTTCACTCAGTATAATGCTACGATATTACAAAACTGAACGCAAAAAATCTCGCTGGTATAAATAACTCAACAGCCTGATCGTGTTTTGCCAAACCTTTTTCTTAATCTTTTACAAACAGATCCTGATACCAACAAAAACCCTCCGCGCTCCAAAATGAATCTTTAAATAGGGAACTGCGGTGTAAGCAGATCGAATCGGGATATTTACATAAAGAAAATCATTTCACGTATTGAAAAATCATTTGGGAGTTCCACTATGAGTTGGGGAGGTACGGTGAAATCGTTAGGGCAAATAAAACGAATTCTGGTGCAGATCACTTGATTTTGTAGACTCCTTTTCTTACGAATTACGACACTTAAGATTGGGTTTGGTCTAAATCATTGGTTCCCAAAGTGGGGGGCGCGCCCCCCAAAAAAAAGGGGGAGGTGCAAAGACCTTTAAAGGGGGGCGCGGGCCATTATCTGTACTTAAGTATAAAAACCTGCGACCGCTGAGAGAATACATTCCAGACTGCTCGATACGACCAATAAAAAATAATCTTGACTGGGGGAGGCGCAGAATTTTTTGTATGGTTGAAAGAGGGCGCGTCTCAAATAATTTTGGGAACCAATGGTCTAAATGATGTTCAAGATTGAATCTAGTTTTAAGCTTGACCTAGAATAAAATAGATAGAATCTAATTTTCACTCGTACGAAGTCGCGGGCACAGCTAGTAGTAAATAACGCCCTACTTACAGCGGAGTCTTTTCTGAAAGTAATGGCATCGAAGCCAATCAGATATCCCACCATAGAAATTTTCTGCTTCTGGGAGGTTCTTTCTGTCCGAAAATTGTTTATCGTAAGTGTTGTTTTGCGTAAACATAAAGACCTTGTCTTTGATCCAAATATATCGCTGACTAAAAGAAGAAAAGACATAGTATGTGTTACAGTGGGGTGTAGGTTAGTATTTGCAAAGCATCATTATGATTATATAAGTCCCAAACTTTACAACAAGGTTAATAAAGTACTGAACATTTACCCTCTAACATCACATAAGTGTAAAGCCCTTCTGAGTAAATGGCTGCTTACCCTTGGTTATGATGAGGTGGAAGCCCTGGTTAAGTAATTTCACATACATAAACTCACACTCACATCACACACAACACATCACACATTACACATCAAACACTACACGTCATACACTACACATCATACACTACACATTACTCACACGCTGCTATTTTTGTTCTTAGTTAAATGTATACCAACTTAATGTTATTTGTTAATGTCTTTGTCTGAAACGTCTACTTAGAGGTGGGCGCTAACATCTGCGACACAGTCTTAGACTACTGCAAATGTTAACGCTAAAATGATTGTGTAAAATTGTTTCTGGTTTCAAATAAAGATTTTATTTTATTTTTTTTATTTTTATTTTATTTTTTCATCTTATTAATGTCTGTTCCGTAGCCTTCCAGAAATAACAATACCTACCTTTCTGGATTGTAACCCGTGTAACCGTTTGTAAAGTTTAGTTTAACAATTCAAATTGGTAATGTAACGGGTTGTAATGCTAATAAATGGCGGTCGACGCGTTGACGATGTTAGGGTTTCTAAAAGCCACTTAAGTTGAGGACTAATTATTAATTGATTAATGTTATGATACTAGCACTAAGGCAATTATCACACTGCACCGCCCTCCGCCGCGGTACGCGGGACGACAGATTTAATCATTATATGCAAGTACCTCAGTTTGTCTAGAAAACACGCGGATTCGTTATATGTCGCCACGCGGACCGCGGGAGAGCGCGGTACAGTGTGATAATCGCCTAACGGAATATGAAATTATATTCAATTTACAGGTGTCGTACAATAATGTGGAAGCGATCAGTTTTATTCAAGAAACAGATTATGTACCTACTCCTGATGAATTCTAACCAACTAATGATGTTATCTTGAAACAAATATATACCTACAGTAATTAATAACATTCTGATGTACTAAAGCCTTAACGAGACGATTTGTCTCCACAGAATTAATAAAATATCAATAGGTCTACGTGTAAAACACCGTCTGTTTTTGCTACACTGACCTATTTTGTTTGCTCTTTATTTAGATATAATTTGTCCAAATCCAATTATTTGCTATTAGTGACAATATAATCAGAAATTCGATACGTAACGTAATATGATGTGGCGATGTGATTGATTCATATTTGCACAGCCATCAGAGAGTTCATTATCTGATATTTACTTAATTATCCGATAATTAATACAAATGGATTTGTTTATGTTGCAATCTATTTTCAAAGTATAATTTATTTGGGCTGAGTTGCATCATCTTATTTTAACCTTAACTATGACGAAAACCGGTGCTTTTTGTATGGAGTTTGACAGATTTTTGCGTTTGTCAAATTTAAAGGAAGATCGTGCAAACCAACATTAATGTTTTGTTGGTCAACCCGTGAGACCAGAGCGAAGAGACTGTAGGCTATAATAATATCTTCAATTTGCCGGTTGATAGTGGCCTGTAACCAGCGCCTTCCTGCTACCTTTATGAGGTCGTCGGTCCACGTTGTTCCTTCCGATCATCAGTATTTAGGACTGATCATTGAAAGCGTTTTGCGTTTTATCATAATTTTGCGTTTGTGTTTTGGCAACAGTAATCAGACGGTTAATTCTGTTTTTCTAGGTGTCAACAAGGACAGGGATTGTGTCCCACTACGTGCGACTACAGATAGTGGTGCCGGAGGCGTTTATACTGGGCTCTGGAGAACACCACGTCGACCTGGGAAGTGTCATTCACCTCATTTGTATCGTTGAAAAGGTATGTATAGATTTTGAGGATATTTTTATGGTATTTGTAGTAATTGTCCCCAAGGGTGATTATCGTCCACACATAAATGTATTGGGCAACTAAACTTTAATGGTTGTAAAAATTAACCAATAAAATTTGAAAATAGCACACATGCACCTCATTTAATACACGTAGAACATCAATCAACTTAAGCACCACATTTTATAGTAATTAAATCTTCATAAGTATTTGCTAATAGCTATTTCAGACCACCGTTAATAAGCCACTCCATGCGACTCCATGAGTTTTTAGCAAGCTTTTCAATAAGAGTTCAACACAGTCAGTAATGTACCCAAGCCTATACTTACATCAACCGTTAAATCCGTAACTGTTTTCTTACTACAGGAAAACGTAACCTCCTATAGATTATGCTCATAAAATATTCTACTGGCTAGTAACCTATTTAGCAATTTACGTGCTGGGCTTAAATTTTACATTGCATGTTTTATGAAAAAGTTGGAATAAGCGCACGATAGCTACACGTTGGGCGCCAATTTTTCACTTTTCACCACCTCATTATTTAAAAATAACCTTTTATTTTGAACCTTAAGTTTGCTTGCATTTGGGACTGAAATATTACAGTGTTATGACTGCATATCAAAGTTTATTTATGAAAGCCTATTTCACCCATAATTTCGTAAAATTGTGAAAATTGCCCAATTAAAGAAGTTAAGAGTGTGCTTTTTTATTTTTGGATTTATTTATTTATTTGAAGCAGTTACTTAAATGTATAGTTAGAGTAATATTAATAGGTTAGCTACATGGAAACAATACAGTATTCTGCGTACAAGTTATAAACTGGAAATGAATAACATTTACAACCTACTATACCATAAAAAGGGCTTAAAATATTGTGTGCACATTCTAAAAGCGAGCACATAATAAAATCCAAATAACTATGCAGGGGAGTGCTTACGTATTTTCAACACATGCCATTTTATCTTTAATAGGATTCCGTATGTTATGACATTGCGACATTTTTATGGTTCCAAAGATATAATCGTAAAATTACCCGTTTTATTAACCCGTCCGACGCCGCGGTGGTGTATTACGGTCTACGGCAATCCGGAATTTTGACGGAAAGCTCACTGAATTTATAGATTGCGACTGAATAAAGTATTGAGGGAGGCTTGATTGGGATTGTTTTATAACGACTGTATTTGACTCGATGAATTTGTTTTTGATGCCGTTTGACAGTTCGACGGTGATTATTAATGTTGAAATAATTTGTATTTGATAAAATACTCATATTATACAAAGGTAACACCTTTGTACGTCTCAAGCTAAATGCTATGGTATATTTGTAGTCGTAATAATAGGGGTGAATTTGGAACAATTTTTATCCTGCTAATCTGTCCTTAGCACCAATTACATTTCAAGCATATTCAAAAATGATTTTACTAACTGACGTTCATGAATCCTGAAGGGCAACTGAAAAAAACTTAAGGGCTAAGAGAGAGCAAGCTTTTTATAGCTCTTGTTACCATATCATGGGCCATCAATTTACATAGAAGTACTTTTATGAGCTGTCAAAACGCGACTCTTGCAAAGGAAGTTATGACTGTCACTTACTCGTGGTTTGACAACCTAATTGACTAACAATTTCAATATATCTGACATTATTTGTGGGACTACGACAGATTGAAAAGGCGCTGGTAGCCAATACGTACTTACCTAATCGGGACCGATGCCACCGCTCATTCTCACTAGGACTGTACTCGGGTAATAGCCAGGAGGACCAATCAGATTTCCTGGTTTCCTGAATGATGAAATCTGATTAGTTATTCAAAATACATCTCCACTCCTCTCCGCCTAATTACTCTTCTCTCAGAATACACGTAAGAAATAAACGTATTTTCCCCTTTCCAGAGCCCAACACCTCCCCAATACGTGTTCTGGTACCACAACGAGCGGATGATCAACTACGACGCGACGCGCGGCGGCATCACAGTGGAAACGGAGCCGGGTGCTCGCACACAGAGCCGTCTCACAGTCAGAGGCGCCACGCTCAAAGACTCGGGGAATTATACGTGCAGCGCTAGCAACACCGAGCCCGCGTCGATACACGTGTTCGTCTCTGAAGGCAGTAAGTGTCTCACCTCAAAGCGCCAGTTGTAAGCATAGCCCCTGACTGTAAGCCATTACAGTCAGGGACGCCACGCTCAAAGACACGGGGAATTACACGTGCAGCGCTAGCAACATCGAACCCGCGTCGATACACGTGTTCGTCTCTGAAGGCAGTAAGTGTCTCACCACAGAGCTGGTGCACAGTCAAGGGCGCCACGCTCAAGGACTTGGGGAATTACACGTGTAATGCTAGCAACACCGAGCCCGCGTCCATACACGTGTTCGTCTCTGAAGGCAGTACCTAAGTGTCTCTACAGAGTGCATCACAGTCGAGACGGGGCCAGGTGCTCGCACACAGAGCCGTCTCACAGTCAGGGGCGCCACGCTAAAGGACTCGGGGAATTACACGTGCAGCGCTAGCAACACCGAGCCCGCGTCCATACACGTGTTCGTCTCTGAAGGCAGTAAGTGTCTCTACAGAGTGCACCCCAGTTGAGACGGACGGGTGCTGGCACTCAGAGCCGTCTCACAGTCAGGGGCGCTACGCCCAAGGACTCGGTGAATTACACGTGCAGCGCTAGTGTTCGTCTCTGAAGGCAGTAAGTGTCTCACCACAGAGCTGGCTTACAGTCACGGGCGTCACGCTAAAAGACTTCAGCAACTGTTAGTGCAGCGCGAGTAACACCGAGCCAGCATCGATACACGTGTTCGTCTCTGAAGGCAGTAAGTATCTCACCATAGAGCCGGCTTACAGTCAGGGGCGCCACGCTAAAAGACTCCAGCAACTGTAAGTGCAGCGTGAGGAACACCGAGCCCGCGACGATACACGTGTCCGTCTCTGAAGGCAGTAAGTGTCTCACCATAGAGCTGGCTCAGTCAGGGGCGCCACGCTAAAAGACTCGAGGAATTACACGTGCAGCGCTAGCAACACCGAGCCCGCGTCGATACACGTGTTCGTCTCTGAAGGCAGTAAGTGTCTCTACATAGTGCATCATAGTTGAGACAAACGGGTGCTGGCACTCAGAGCCGTCTCACAGTCAGAGGCGCCACGCTCAAGGACTCGGGGAATTACACGTGTAATGCTAGCAACACCGAGCCCGCATCCATACACATGTTCGTCTCTGAAGGCAGTAAGTGTCTCTACAGAGTGCATCACAGTCGAGACGGAGCCAGGTGCTCGCACACAGAGCCGTCTCACAGTCAGGGGCGCCACGCTAAAGGACTCGGGGAATTACACGTGCAGCGCTAGCAACACAGAACCCGCGTCGATACACGTGTTCGTCTCTGAAGGCAGTAAGTGTCTCACCACAGAGCTGGTTCACAGTCAAGGGCGCCACGCTCATGGACTTGGGGAATTACACGTGTAATGCTAGCAACACCGAGCCCGCGTCGATACACGTGTTCGTCTCTGAAGGCAGTAAGTGTCACTACAGAATGCATCACAGTCGAGTCGGAGCCAGGTGCTCGCACACAGAGTCGTCTCATAGTCAGGGGCGCCACGCTAAAGAACTAAAGGACTCGGTGAATTACACGTGCAGCGCTATTGTTCGTCTCTGAAGGCAGTAAGTGTCACAGTATAGAGCTGGTTTACAGTCAGGGACGCCACGCTAAAAGACTACAGCTACTGTAAGTGCAGCGCGTGTAACACCAAGCCCGCGTCGATAAGTACACGTGTTCGCTCTGAAGCCAGTAAGTGTCTCACCACCCACGTGGCAAAAATATAACCTGAGTAGCAAAATCTGGTACTTCTATAAAAGACCTGAGAACGTTTTAGAACGTGCTAAGCTTCTTAACTTTTTAGTCTTTATTTTTCTCAAAAACGAGTTGATAAACTTTATGATCCTAATCCTAATTAAAGTAAATGTTACTTTTAAAACAGAACACTAAAAATAACGAAATCTTCTATCCTTTTCAGGCAACAAAATGGCGGCGATCCTCCGTCGGAACACGAGCGCCATCCACGGTATAACGTCGAGCGCGACCTGCTTACTTCTGCTCGGCTCCGCGCTGTTGCACTTCGGCCTGCGATGACGGTGGAGTGGCTAGAGCGGCCGTAGGTGACGGCGAAAGTCGGTGTTGACGGTGTATCTTGTCGGTGAAAAGTGGAAACTTAATTTTTATTTGGAAGTCTTAGTTAGTTCATTGAAGGGTTAGGATGGCATGAATTTGAAGGATGAACTCTGTCACTTAATCATGTTAATAGGTACTTTCCTGGACAGTGAACTGCTATAGCATTCATAACAATAAACTTTTATTGTGTCTGGGTTACTGTCGGGAAAGTGTTAAATAGGGTCGAAATTAATTATTTCTACCAGGAAATTCTATGTCTGATTTGTATGGAGGACACACAGTGTTAAATTATTATCCTAATGATTCTAATAACAAGAATCCTAAATAGGTATTTAATGCTTCGGATGGCACATAAAGCTATCGGTCGAATTAACAGGAGCAGGAATTTAAACCTATTTCGGGTCATAAGTTCTAACCCCAGAATTATGACCTCAGATGCTACAACCCCTAAGATAGATGTCACTGAGTAAAAGTATGGAAAATTCGTTCGTTTTTAGAAGCTATTAGAAGAACAAGATCATCTAAATTATCGACTTTCGCCGTATTGTTGCACGAAGCAGATAATGTACAGAGGAATAGCATTCAGGAGTGATTCAAAGATCCAAGCTAATTCGTTCCTTCAAACGATCATAATAGGGAACAATTTTGCTTGGGAATGAGGGTTTTCATGATTGAAAAATCTGCCAGATGGCAATACGTAGACGCGAGGTCCAAATGCTGCATGATTGGTTATTTTTGACATGACATTGACAGATAAAATATGTCAAAATCCACCAATCATGCAGCATTTGGACCTCCCATCTACGTATTGCCATCTGTCGGAATTTTCAATGGCGAAAACCCTCATTGAGTGTGTAAATGCGAGAGTGTAGTTCTGTCAAAGAACCCGAAAAAACATCTCCATTATTTTCTTAGCGAATTCGATTTTACGAATAGAAAGAAAGAAAGAAATAGAGCTATTCTTCTGTACATTTTAATACTCGTTGCATTTGGTATAAGATACCTTCAGTTATCCCCTCAGTCGTTTAAGAAACATAATTATACTGTAAAAATAAGTTGATTCAATTAGGTAAAAGAAATTTGTAATAACATAGTCTATCTATACTATTGAAGTAGGTAATTTAATAGGTATTTATGGAAAATGTTGAAATACCAAGGAATTTGATATACCTACTTAAAATAACATAATTGTTTATTTGTAACAGTTTACCGAAAAAGAAAGGCACATCAAGTATGCAACTTACACTCACCAAGATGGCGCCACTGTAAAGTTCTGTCATCCACCAGTGCTGCCAACTGTTAAGTATAAAAACGATAGCCTTCATTCAGTAAAAGAACGGCGCCGGTACATCCCAATGAGGGTTTTCGCGAATGAAAAATCCGCCAGATGGCAATACATACACGCGAGGTCCAAATGCTGCATGATTGGTTATTTTTGACATGACATTGACAGATATGTCAAAATCCACCAATCACGCAGCAGTCAGACCCCACATCCACGTCCCGCCATCTAGCGGATCTTTCATTCGCGAAAACCCTCATTGATTTAGAACCATAAATTATATAAAAATTAAAGTTTAAAATCAATTTGTTGTTCGCGACTGTATAGGTTTTTTTTAGTCACAAAGTATCAAAAGCTACTGAACTCTCATAAAAAATATTGTCAAAAATACCAGATAAAAATAAAACTTTTATACCAAAAATGAACGCCAAGAAACCATGAACTAATTAATAAGTAAGATAAATTAACTCAAATAGTCACACAATTTCAACGTAGATTTAGTAACAAAATTGACAATGATCTGTACATAATATAAAATTATTTACCTGTAAATATGAACCTTCAATAGGTATTGGAATTATACGTAAAATGTTGAGATAAAATTAAATTATTATACCAAGGTTATTCATTAGTCCTTCTCATAGTTAATTAATTATTATTAATTTACGATAAAATTCAGCCATTTTCAAAGCGCCCCTGGCTGCAATTTTCTGTACTGCATGATGGATTTTTTTAACTTCAGTTGTTTGCCATTTTTGTAATATGGCAACTCATACGAGTATTGCCTTTACTCAGCTTTTGTTTTTTATCAGGGTTGTCAATGTCACATTGGGTCTAGTAAAATGCGTATTTATTAGCCAAATCAAAATAATAGCTGATAATTTCAAATTAAGTCAATTAAATATAATATACATTATGTAATAAAATATCCTGTTTAAGTTACATTGTAACTAAACCATTGTTTTTGTAAATGTACAGTATTTTACTTATTACGTTAACGTCATTCTATAGCGTAAGATTCAGGGTTCGATTTCCATTAGCGTCTTCATATAATTATGTTCGAGACTTTAAATAAAAAATAAAATAAAATAAAATAAAAAGTAATAATGGTTTAAAACTCACTGCGCTTGATTTCAAAATATACGTCAATATAAAAATCAAGGAGTAAAAAAGATATAATAAAATTATTTGTATTACCAACATCACAAAAAAAATGTTAGCAATTAAGCTATAAAATTCTAACAATAATAATAAATTCTACGGAATTAAAATTTAGGATACACTTGATTAGGTAGAAAATAATTCATTTGTACAAAACTGATGAATTTAACTCAAAAACACTATCGTTGATATCAATGTAAACGTAGTCATATTTACAACTGGCAAAACAACATTCTAAATTTTAACTGATATAGCAATACCGCATGATTAATAAGACGAGTATTGCCAACAATAAAAAGAAGATTCTTAAATAAGCTGACTGCCACTTTGAACTTTATTTCCTTACACTTTAGTGTAAAACGTGATACGCCTAACTTTAGACTAACGCGGTTTTGCTATATCAGAGACATAACTAAAATATGACCGTTGCGGGTATTACAGCATATTGCATAAAAATACGGAAATACCCAGTGTTGCCACTTAAAAAAATACATAGTGTTACCATATTAGTTCTCTAAGAGTCTATGATAACATTAAAAAGCATAGTGTTAAAATCTATATAGAGATCGGAGTTACCATCATCAGTATACTTGAAATTGAGATAAAATATTTATATTGTGTAATTCTAAAATTTGTTAACTTGTGTAAATATGAACGATGTAATTATGCGTAGTAATTGAGTTAAATGTAAATAATTCGTCAGTGTTATTGAATTTATTGTACAAACAATTTTGGTGATCCAGTATGCAATAAACATTAAATTTCTTCGGATCATATTGTTTTTTAATGCTAGTGGATTAAAAACTGTTTGTGATTCATCAATACTTTAAAAAAGCCTACTCCTACGGGGTTCGATCGCTGGACCACAGCTACTATTGTAGCCCGATATCATCAGCGTGTGACCTTTAAAGAGAAGGTAAGTAATTGGGTAGGTGACACCATTAACCAATTAAGGGCAGTTATTTTTGCAAAAAAACACTTCATTCTGAAAACCAAGTTAGTTTTCATTCAATAAAAAGTTATCAATTGAGTTAACGGAAATGTGACGTCATAATGCTGCATTTTGACAGCTTTAAAAAAAGTATGTCAATTGACTGTGGTGTCAAGCTTTTAACTTCCCAATTACAAAATATCCATCTATAAAAATATCATATTTTTTTACCAAAAAAGAGAGGGTAGTGCGATTCAAAATAATGTAGCGATTGAACTGACACCCACGCCGCGCGCGGCGCTAGAGTCGTTCCCCTCCCCACTTCCCACTCCCCGCTCTCGCCTTTAATCAATCAGTAATCGCCGAGACGCCGAAGCGAACGCACGTCGATATGTCGCTACTCGAGCGTGTTACACTTACGCGACCGCCGTGTGTGTTTTAATTGTGCCTTCACGTGATCCGTGGACATTATTTATGAATATTTGACCGCGGGTATGGTGTACTCACAAAAAAAAATTGTTTATGTTAGATAACATTACGTTTGTGTTCGATATGAAGTATTGCCGAGTTGACCGCCGAGCCGTCACACCAAACAGCTGATGATCGTGACGTGGTAAGGTAAGTACTTTGTACTATGATCGGTTATTATTTACTTGAATAGGGGCGTTTTTTGCCACAAAAAAAAATTATAGTCCGATGTGATGTCGACTATACATTGCTCACGCGCGTGTCATTAAGCTGGGTTTTAGCGCGGAATAAAAATATATTTTTTAAAACATACTAAAACACTTTTTTTATTTTATGTACCTAACTTCTAAATTCATATTACTTATTCGCAGTTTATAGGATAATATTGCTTACCTTAACACCCTGTATAATGTTTACAGTTTTGAATAAGAAAACAACGAATATAATAATAACAATTTTATTCTCGACACACGACCATACAATCGCAATAAATAAATAAATAAATGTAAGTAAAGAAAATCGTGTAAATCGTTTATTTACATACAAAATGTACTTGAGTGCACAAAATGCCACAGAATAAAGACAATCACAAAACAAAGGTACAGAAGTATCATAAGTATCTATGAAGGTAAAAAAATAGACAGGATTTTTGGTAACTAAAATGCACTGAAATTTTCACATAAACTTATATTTTATTTTGTCATTTTAGGGTCTATCTTGTGCTAAACTCGGCAAAGATACTAAATAAATATAAAAACACCTACTCTGGCAGGACTTCTAGCAGATTTAAAGTTATTTGTTGTTTATTTCTACGGATTTATCATTTAACTAATTGGACTCTACAGTAACATGTTATAGGTCGCTCAATGAAAATTGAGGCGTTAGCGCAGATATTGTATACAGGGTGTTAGGTAAATGGGTATATGAGCCGACACTAGCCCATGTTAACATATTATTATGCATATAAATAGTATGGTGAAGTCAGAAAATTGATATCATCATACAAAATAAATTTTATAAAATCAGATATCAAATTTCTGACTACACCATACCATTTATATGCATATGTTAACATGGGCTAGTGTCGGCTCATATACCCATTTACCTAACACCCTGTATAGATACAAATCTTTGCTTGAGTTTATTGCCTCAACTCTAGTTGATCCACCTTTACTAGTATTGTGGCAGTGGTACACAGACCAGAAGTCTAAAATAATCGCAAATCAATAATATCAAACGAGATTAAGATATTAATAAAATATCGCTTGCAACACCAAAACCAACCAATATCCCATCTGTCACCAATTTGAAGTGATCTACGACAAAACAAAATCAATAAATACCTCTTCTAGTTACTTCTTTTGTCTTCTCTATTTTCTCATTTACGCTTACTGGTAAAAATATATTATTACATTAGTTACATTATATTTCTTGTTACTTAAGCATCTATCTCACTATCATTTGCTTGTATAATCTACTTTATTATTCTTAAAAACGCATAACGGCAGTGACAATGTTATGAAAAAATGGAGTAAGATTTTTTTTTACTATTTCTCTGTGATATTAAAACCTATTTCATGCAAGTACCTATCTCATTCTATACTGAAGTCAACAATTTAGTGAATTTCTGCATTTTTTTTTTGCTATTTTACTACGAGGGGCGGCTGAAAAGTTTTGAGCCTAGGTATCTTCAAGTGTTATTATTGACTCACACTAAATTTAATTAATTTGCCAATAACCTCCTTAGTATATGTACAAAGTTTCAATTCATTAGCGTCATCACGCTTTTAGTAATTAATCCGTAAACATCATCATGTCTCAGTCATCCTCGCAATGTACGAAATTGAAGTACACAGTTGTCATAAAATGCCTCACAAAGAAGAACAAAACGCTGACGGTAATATTTGAAGAGATGTCGACAGTTTATGGGGAATCTGGGCCTTCATTTGCCACCATGAAAGATTGGATCCGATAATTCAAGCATGGCAGGGAGTCGCTAAAAGATGACCGCAAGTCAGGGCGGCCAGATTTCGCCATTAACGAATAAAATAATGAAAAGTTAAAGAATCTTGCTCTAGAGATCCGCGAATTAAGCTGTGACAGATAGCTGAAGCCATAGGCATTAGCAAGGAACGTATTGGCGATATTTTTCATACTTATTTGCACATGAAAAAGGGGTGTGCGCGATGGGTGTCAAAAATGCTCACGCCATTCGACAAACAGCGTCGAGTCACAACTTCGCAGGAGTTTTAGGACATCTTTGGCCATAATCCTAACAATTTTTTTTCTCACATTGTCACTATTGATAAATAATAGATCCGGCAGTACGATTCAGAGTCAAAACAAGAGTCAATGCATTGGATTGAAAAGGGAAAACGCCGCCGCGGTATTCAAAGTGGAGCGATCGACACCCAAGCTCATAGGCACTATTTTTGGGATTGTGGAGGAATTTTATTCATTGACTACCTACTTAAAAAAAACTACAATAAACGGGGATTATTTTGCTGTACTGTTGATAAAAGTGCGTCAAGTGGTTGTCGAAATATTAAGAGGCAAACTGGCGAAAGGAAATCTGTTATTGACAGACAATTCGCCCGTGCACATCGCGCATGTTGCAAGGCTTGCCCCGGGTAAAACTGGATTTCAAGAAATTAATCACCTACCACACAGTTTAGTCCGAATCCTTAGCTATTTTTTCTAATTCTCAAATTGGAAAAATGACCTCCAGGAACGAAGATTTTTGAGTGACAAAGAAATGAAGGCAGCGTTAGAGGATTATTTCGAAGGGAAAGATTGCGATTTTTTTTTCAGTGGGTTAAAAGCTCTTTTATACAAATGTAAGAAGTGCGTTGTAGTAGAGGAAGATTAAATAGAAAAATATATTTTTTATACTATTCTATCGGCATTTTTAATACCCTAGGCTCAAAACTTTTCAGCCGCCCCTCGTAGTTTAAGAGATCTATTAATTAATTACTTTCCCAGGCTATAAAAATCTTAGACTCTATAATTATTAGATTATTAATTTATCGACGGTTTAATCTTTTATCTACATTTCTGCAAAAATGCAATTTAACATACACGTAGACGTCATGTCATCATGACGTGTATATGACGTCATCATCGGTTAAAAAATTCCATAAAGTTTTCAGCGATATGATACCAAAAAAAAAAGTGTTTTTTTGTTTGTTATAAATCAATGCGTTTCACTCTGCGACTCTATATCGTAAGCGGATGGCTTTAAATTACTATTTCTAACTTTGTCAAATTAGTTATTGTCAACAAATTATTTTATCAAGCTACCTCACTCTCATAACGTCCTGGAAGTCTCTGAATCTTGGTCCTGTTGCTTGATCAGGTTCCAGTAGAAGCCTTTCTGTTTCTTCAACTGATCGTGGGTGCCCATCTGAAATGTACAAGTTCGAGTTTTATCTATCACTTCTAAAGCCCGGTTTTTTGATTCGTAGTTAAAATAACCAATAGTCAAATTTGACAGATGTCAAATGACAAGTGGTTAAATATCAGAAAAAAAATTGTTAGCTTGACTACTAGTACATTTTTTAACTACACTCAACATCAAATAAACCGCACCTTCCGCGACGCGAACTTTAAAGATTTTCTTCTGATACAATCATGGTGCCCCAACAATATTGGTGTTATTTGAAAGCCCAATAAATATCCTTAAAGAAAAACACTTAATTTCTCAATAAATTATTAACGTATACCATAAATGTGACTTGAAAAAAGACTTCACTTTGGGCTCACCTCTGGGATCAATTAGACCAAATTTTATGGTTATAAAACCAAATAATGATCACACGTGTCCTCTTTAACAGATGGATAGCGATTAATCCCAAATTAACAGTTTTATAGCCATAAAAGTTTGCTCAAGCGTAACTACCTATTTTTTGAAAAAGTGACTCTGAATCCTTCTAAAGACACATTTTTGGGGTAAAAACGTTTCCTCTAATGAAATAAAGTGTAAAAAAACTAGGCTTTCAAATGGAACCAATGTTGGTGGGAAGTTGGGATGCATACGTTTGAAAAGTGCTTGTAGCGGGAGGTGCGATTTATTTGATGCCGAGTTTATTAGTTAACATTTTGTTAATATTTAACGATTAGTAGCAAAATTTAACAATTTGTTATTTTAACTATGAATCAAAAAACTGGCCCTAAGGTGAGTTAATAATTTGGTTATAAAGTTCATCTTACGGTCAGAGAGACATAATACATTGTGTAGACAGTCAAAAATAATATGGAGGGATAAAATCAGCAATTCTAGGTCTATATTTCACACAAACGAAAAATCGTTTCTGTGTGTGATTTATTGTCTGTTTATTTTGTGTATTTTTTTTCTTTTCTTGTGTTGTGTAGAATAAAGTGTGTTATCTATACTATCTTAAAGTATAAATTCAAATCCCTCACCTCTACAATCTTCCCCTTATTCAAGACCACAATGAGGTCCGCATTTATGACAGTTGAGAGGCGATGAGCGATCACCAACACTGTGCGCCCTTTAGCAGCTGTTTCTAATGCTGACTGTACCACCTTTTCGCTGGCAGAGTCTAAGGCACTGTGAAAAAAAAACATAAGAATGTTAGATTTTAAACTTTCGCGTTTAATTTCAACTAAAATCGAAAGACACGGGTCTTAACGCGACTCACGGCTTGACGTTTCGGCTGCTATGCTTCGTAAGAATGTTTACAATCTATTGTTTTTAACTCTGTATAAAGAAAACTACAGTATCGAACAAAATAGATGCCGACTAAGGTGTCGTAGCCAGCCGGGAACTGGGTGATGAACTCATGCGCATTTACTGTCATAGTAAAGCTAGAGAGTCACGTGCTAGGGGACTTTGGCTCTTATTATGATACCTATAAAGGTCAAATTCCTTGTTCTTTATGGTGATAGGCGGGTTCTTCAATATAGCTCGTGCGATGACTACGTGCCGTTTCTGGCCGCTGCTATTCTACATTGAATCTGGCTGGCGACTTTGAAACTTCTTACATAGCTAATAAAGGTGAAGGTCTACTGACCTAGTAGCCTCATCCAGTATAATAATAGGCGGGTTTTTAAGAACAGCTCTTGCTATGGCCACGCGTTGCTTCTGTCCGCCGCTTAGCGCTGTGGCGGCCATCCGCCACATTCCTAACTTGGACCACCGCCTTAGATTTCGGAGCGACCCGCTTCCGCCTATGAGATTGGGCCAACCCCGACTTGACGGAACGTGAACGAATCGTTGGCGCATGCGTGCTGTGGCCGTCACAATACATCTGCGTCACTCGCACACCCGTGAAGACGTATGCTGCCGTCTCGCTTCAACGCCGGTCACCGATCTCCGCTCACTCATCGCCGTTGAAGAGTTTTGAAATATGTCGTCGTGACACTTCTTCCGCGATCGCTTTGCTCTTAAGATTTAAATAATTTTATTGCTATTGTATCCTAATCAATCCTTTGCTATTCCTGTTGTTAAATATAATTTCCAATCCGCTAATAACATTCTTCCTTCCACCGTGTTCTTCCTACCTTTATTTCCTGACTCGAACTGCCTAACAATAATCTTAACGATTAAGAATCGGAATAGGATTCCGAGTAAAACATATGGTGGGTTGTTGGCAAATAACCCCCATAGCGCTGTTCCCCGCTCGCCGACCAACGTGTCATGCGACTTTCAGCTTTCTTACAAGGCTCATAAGACTCAAAGTCGACTGACCTGGTGGCCTCGTCCAGTATAGGGCATGGAAACGCACTTTTGTCTCCTGCACGATACTCATTGCGTTGAGCAAATGTGAGCTTTCCTGTAAAGCCAATAGGGTTTAAGATTGTCTGACTGACCTGGTTGCCTCGTCCAGTATGATAATAGGCGGGTTTTTAAGAACAGCTCTTGCTATAGCCACTCGTTGCTTCTGTCCGCTCACCGACCAACGTGTCATGCGACTTTCAGCTTTCTTACAAGGCTCATAAGAGTCAAAGTCGACTGACCTGGTGGCCTCGTCCAGTATAGGGCATGGAAGTGTTTCCTGCACGATACTCATTGCGCTGAGCAAATGTGAGCTTTCCTGCAAACCCAATAAGGTTCAAAATTGTCTGACTGACCTGGTAGCCTCGTCCAGTATAATAATAGGCGGGTTCTTCAGCACAGCTCTTGCTATAGCCACCCGTTGCTTCTGTCCGCCACTCAGCGCTGTTCCCTGCTCGCCGACCAAAGTATCGTAACCAGCTGGGAACTGGGTGATGAACTCGTGCGCATTCACCGTCATAGTAAAGCTAGAGAGTCACTTGCTAGGCGACTTTGGACCTTATTGTGATACTTACAAAGATCAAATTCGACTGACCTTGTCGTCTCGATCTATATGGTGATTAGGGATTGCAATCCGGTCCGGCGGATCCGGTAATCCGGCGGATCCGGTGTGTTTTTGGACCTACCGGATCCGGTGAGACGGCGCCGGATCCGGTGGCGGATCCGGTAAAGCAAAAAATACGCGAACGTGAACTGGGAAAGTCGAGCGCGCGCGCATTTGCCAGATCGCTAGACGTGGTGCGACACTACATTGCATATTCCTTTGCAAAAAAAAAATGCTTCTTCTTTTATTGTTTCTTAGGAGTCAGATTATTTCTTAAAAAGAACTGAAGTTTAATTTATAAGTACAAATTTAAAAGACTGTTTTGTTGATTTAAGTCTGTGTAGATTATTAATAAGAGTTTACATTATTATTTATTATTATTACTTAAGTACTTTCAGATACATACAGCAATAAGTGAGAGTCAGACTGATTACTAACTTTATTATTTAGAAATTTTATAATTTTATTAGTAGGTACAAATACCTAGTAAGGGAGAGTCCGCTAATTTGGACCAGTTTTTTTCAATCCCATTTTACACATAGTTTTGTTTTGTTTTTGCTAATGTCCATGGTATATAATAAAAAGATACATTATTCAACTTACTATTTCATAAGTATTAATTAACATGATTGTTGAATATTTAGCACAAATTAACAAAGTACAAGTTCAGAGCTTCGGTCCAATTTAGCCAACCGGTTTGATAATTTGTACCACAGGGTTACTAAATTGGATTTCAATAAATTTCAAGCCTATAAAAAAACTATGGCAAAATATTATACGATACATTCTTAACAAATTAGAAAACGAAAAGGAACAGTAGTTAATAACATAGACAATCGATATTGATTTACACGTTATCACGATTTTGAGTACAAGTTTTGTAATTCCAATTATCGTAACGCACACTTGTACCCAATCTACTTTGCCAGTCTTTTGCTTTCATTTATTGTTAGTCAAACATAACTACGCTATTATAACTTCAAAATATGATTTACTCAAAAAAAATTCAAAATCCTTTGGTAAAGTTCCATACAACTTGATGTGGTACAATTTAGCCGACTAGGTGATAGTGCTTTTAAAAAATCGGTAAAAAATATAGCTCTTAAATACCGAAAAATGTTTCAAATAATTGTAATCCACACTAATTTACGCTTCTAAATAATATATTAGAAACACCCTGTGATTAAATTTAACAAAATTACAAACTAAACATGTATTGTCAAAAGTAACTTGAAAACAATGAAAAAATACTTTTCAAAATAAAACTCACGTGTTTGTTGTCACGGCAAAAACCACATGGCCGATATTAATTGATTTTAGTTGTGTATCGCTGAGTGTTGCAGTTACAGACATTCAATAAATACTTTACGAAATATGGGGGTGGTACAATTTACCCGGCGGTACAATATACCGAACTCTCCCCTACTTACCAAAAATTACAATTAATACCGAAAAATATAAATAATATTAGTACTATTATCAAAACTAAAAATCACTAAATACTAGACCAAGCAAGTAACTTTGCAATCCGGATTAGCGTCAATCCGGTGAAATCCGGCCGGATTGAAAATGATACCGGATTGCAATCCCTAATGGTGATAGGCGGGTTCTTCAATATAGCTTGTGCGATGACTACGTGCCGTTTCTGGCTGCTGCTATTCTTTATCTAGCGAATCTGGCTGGCGACTTTGAACCATCTTACAAAGCTAATAAAGTGAAGATCGACTGACCTGGTAGCCTCATCCAGTATGATGATAGGCGGGTTTTTAAGAACAGCTCTTGCTATAGCCACCCGTTGCTTCTGTCCGCCGCTCAGCGCCGTTATAACAATCCTAGAGAGTAACCAACTACTCGACTCTGGGCCTTCTTATCCCAACTAATATTATAAATGCGAAAGTAACTCTGTCTGTCTGTCTGTCTGTCTGTCTGTCTGTCTGTCTGTCTGTCTGTCTGTCTGTCTGTCTGTTACGCTTTCCCGCTTAAACCTCGCAACCGATTTTGATGAAATTTGGCATAGAGATAGTTTGAGTCCCGGAAAAGAACATAGGATAGTTTTTATCCCGGTTTTTGAAACAGGGACGCGCGCGATAAAGTTTTTCTGTGACAGACAAAATTCCACGCGGGCGAAGCCGCGGGCGGAAAGCTAGTAATGTCAATAAGAGTCAAAATCGACTGACCTGGTGGTCTCATCCAGTATAGGGCATGGAAACGCACTTTTGTCTCCAGTATTATACTCATTGCGCTGAGCAAATGTGAGCTTTCCTGTAAAGCCAATAGGGTTCAAGATTGTCTGACTGACCTGGTAGCTTCGTCCAGTATGATAATAGGCGGGTTCTTCAGCACAGCCCTCGCTATAGCCACTCGTTGCTTCTGTCCGCCACTCAGCGCTGTCCCCCGCTCGCCGACCAAAGTGTCGTAACCAGCTGGGAACTGGGTGATGAACTCGTGCGCATTCACCGTCATAGTAAAGCTAGAGAGTCACTTGCTAGGTGACTTTGGACCTTATTGTGATACTTACAAAGATCAAATTCGACTGACCTTGTCGCCTCGATCTGTATGGTGATAGGCGGGTTATTCAACATAGCTCGTGCGATGACCACGTGATGTTTCTGTTCGCTGCTAGTCTTTATCTAGCGAATCTGACTAGGCGACTTTGAACCATCTTACAAAGCTAATAAAAGTGAAGATCGACTGACCTGGTGGCTTCATCCAGTATGATAATAGGCGGGTTTTTAAGAACAGCTCGTGCTACGGCCACTCGTTGCTTCTGTCCGCCGCTCAGCGCCTTATTAGTCACTAGCTGGGCAACTTTGACTCTTATTTTGAGGCCAATAAGACTCAAAGTCGACTGACCTGGCAGCCAGGTCTCGTAACAGCTCGTGCTATGGCCACTCTCTGCTTCTGTCTGCCGCTCAGCGCCGTTATACCAATCCTAGAGAGTAACCAACTACTCGACTGTGGGCTTTCTTATAATGCCAATAAGAGTCAAAGTCGACTGACCTGGTGGCTTCGTCCAGTATAATAATAGGCGGGTTCTTAAGAACAGCTCTTGCTATAGCCACTCGTTGCTTCTGTCCGCCGCTTAGCGCTGTGCCCCGCTCGCCGACTAATGTGTCATAACCAGCTGGGAACTGGGTGATAAACTCGTGCGCATTCATACTAATCTGAGTTGATCTTCTGCTGGGTTACTTTGAGCCTTCTTGTAAAGTCAATAAGGGTCAAAGTCGACTGAAGATGACGGGCGGATTTTAGAGCACGGGAACGCAATTGTCCCCCACTTCACGATACAAATCCTAGCAAATCATTCGCTGAGTAATTTTGAGCTTCCAAAGAGCTCAAAGTCGACTGACCTGGTAGCCTCGTCCAGTATTATAATAGGCGGGTTTTTAAGAACAGCTCGTGCTATAGTCACCCGTTGCTTCTGTCCGCCGCTCAGCGCCTTACTACTAATGCTAGAGTCACTCGATGAGCAACTTTAGGTTTTCTTGCAAAGTTAATAAAGGTGAAAGTCGTCTGACCTAGCTAGCGATCTGGCTGGGCGACTTTGAACCTTCTTACAACGCCAATAAAGCTTGTTGACTGACCTGGTAGCCTCGTCCAGTATGATAATAGGCGGGTTCTTCAGCACAGCCCTCGCTATAGCCACTCGTTGCTTCTGTCCGCCACTCAGCGCTGTTCCCCGCTCGCCGACCAAAGTGTCGTAACCAGCTGGGAACTGGGTGATGAACTCGTGCGCATTCGCCGTCATGGCCGCTTGTATCACCTGAAATAGAGTAAATAGAAAAATACAATTAAAATTAAGTATAAAATGGTGATCATTTTTGTGGCGTACCGATATACAATAGAAATCAATTGTTATCGCGGTCTCATGCAACCACTTATAGTACTATAAGTTAGTTACTACAACCAGGCCTGTTCATCTCCGCGAGTTTACATCGAAAACAAAACACGCACGATGGCCCTAACCTACAGGATACTATTCGACAAGACAATACGAGCGAACATTGACTCACGCACGCGTATTCTTGTGTATGATGGAAGAAAATAAAGAAAATGGTGTACTAAATACTGTGCAGTATTTAACTGCCTAAATAATAATAAAAACACAGAATGTACTTTTTTAAGTTGCCTCAAGACACTGCGAGGTAAATAAGTTGTTAATATTATTCATGATAATTCATGCTAAATCATGTATTTCCTCGGCCATTTTCCGCAGTTTGGCACCTCACGTCACATCATTTTACCGAAGTCAGCCCTATAGCTTCGGCGCAGTGCCGATCACTGAGGTTTGTCAACAAAATGGTGTTTGACTCTTGAGACAGGCTAAATTACACCATATTGTTAATGACATTGAGCATACATTTTTTTAAATACCTTCGCGAAGTGAAACTTCTGTACGTAGCACTTGTTATTATTCTGTGCTACAACCCAGTCGAGTTAAGTGCACACCTGACGGCCGTGACGTTACATCGACACTCTGGTACGGACGGGGCGAACGCGGGGAGGTGTGCGGAGTACGAGGGACAGTCGCAATCAGCGAGTTATCTCGATACTGCGGTCTCATATGACCACTTAGGTTCCACAAGTTAGTTATTACACATAATAATAAGTACTACGTAAAGGGAGTTTATTCGCGAAGGTATTTAAAAAAATATCTAGTCAATGCCGTCAACAATACGGTGTAATTTAGCTTGTCTCGGAGTCGAGCACTGTTTCGATTACATACGTCAGTCATTGGTTCTCTGCCGATGCGATAGGGCTGGCCGCTACAAGAAGCTACTGTGTCGCCATCTAGCGCACCACACGCGTATTTGTTCTTCTTTCCAAAGCGATTTTTTGACAATGGGTTAAGAATTCGCGCGTACGTCACTCACTACTCGCTCGTGAATCCCTTGTGGATTAAACCAACCAGAGATGAACAGGCCTGGTTATAATAGCTAAAGCCTGGTCCGTGAGCACGTAGAATTTTGTCCAATGACCCCAAGCTACCCATCCTTATCGCTCGCGCGTAATTATATTGCTGTCGCGACTGTGCGACGGGCGCCCGCAGTGAGTGTGCGAGTGCGACAGCAACATAATTACGCGCGAGCGATAGGATGATGATGATGAGTATCTTACCTCGGCGTCGCTCGCCTCCGGCTTGCCATAGCGTATGTTCTCCCTGACACTGGTCGCGAACAACACGGGCTCCTGGCTGATGAGGCCCAGCGCTCGGCCTCGCAGCCACTTGCAGTCAAACTGGCGCACGTCAACGCCATCTATCGTCACTTGCCCGTCGTTTACGTCGTAGAATCTGAAAGAGGTAATATACTACTTCTTGATACTTGAACTTGATACAGGGTGGAAACGATAAGTGATCTCACTCGATTATTTCTAAACTATACAAGATATCAATAAACTCGGATTTCAGGATTTCGGACTTTCAGGATCAGTAACTACTGATCCTGAAAGTGCTTCACGAGCTCTATCCAACGGTACCAATAATAAGTTACAAAATAAACTGGATCCATCCGAAAATTCATCAAAGTTTCCAGCTTTCATACATTTAGTGCTGCCACAGTCGTGGCACTCATGTCTTGATAATATTATAGCAAATAAAGCCTAAAACCAATGGTTTCCATGAATAGGCTTTATTTTGCAACAAAAATAGTCTGATGAGTTATCGATTGTACGACCTGATGATTGTCTGTTCTAATTAAACCCTTTTCTAGACAGTTCTCCAGAGTAAGTTTGTTTTTTATGGCTTTAAAATAAGGCAACACGGTTCAAAATAATCCGGAAACCATACTCTCACTGAAATATCATTGTTAGAGGTTTAACTTAAATAAGGAGCAAATATTAAGGACATTTTTTAAAATTATTTATTAATAATTATTTTCTTCACTTATACAGATTACAGGGTGAAAACTAAATCGGTTCGCAAGTTTTTAAAAACACTAAAGTAATTTGGACATACATAATATTATTATGGTGTGTTAAAGTAGCATTTACAAACCTCTCTAATAGTGCAGCTATAGTGGATTTCCCGTTGCCCGATGTACCGACGATTGCAACCGTCTTACCCGCTGGGATTTTGAGGTTGAAGTGCTTCAGCACTACCTGAAAATATGGAATAACTCGCTTTAGGTTTATACATAAACACCGAATTCTTATGTACTTGTAATAAAACAATAAAAAATATAATTAAAATCATAGCTCTTTACAGGGCTCTGTCAAGCCCCTGTCCCATATACAGGGTGTTAGGTAAATGGGTATATGAGCCGACACTAGCCCACGTTAATGTCAAAAATTTATTATCTTCATTTTTATTATTTTAATTTTCATACAAATCGGATTTTATAAAATTATTTTGTATGAAACTTAAAAAAATTAAAATGATGATACCAAATTTCTGACTTCACCATACCATTTATATGCCCATGTTAACATGGGCTAGTGTCGGCTCATATACCCATTTACTTAACACCCTGTATTGCCACCATAATTTGTACCTTGTCAACTTAGTCATAAGGTCGATAATCATTAATCAATAAAAATCTATCTGGGGGCACGGCAGTGCCCCCACCAAGTCGAGCAAAAAAGCGGCACGGCCGTACCATCCTTTTCTCGAAGCAATTCAGGCCATTTTCGACCGCCTGTAACTTCGTTGTGGATAAAACTACAAGGCTGAATTTTCATTAGCTATGCAGGCATTGTAAAGACACGGTATATTTAAAATTTCATTCAATTTGAACCAGTAGTTTAAGAATTATAACGGGTCAAAGTTACTTAATTTTGTCACTCACTGACTCACTGACTGACTCACTCACTGACTCACCGATCATCAAAACTCTAAGGCACTTCTAGCAGACCTAGAAGCTTCAAATTTGGAATATAAGTAGTGTTTGGTGTATGAATCAAGGAAAAACTAAAATATTTGGGGGCACGGTAGTGCAACCGCCAAGTCGAGTAAAATTTTTCAATTTCGGTCCAGTTTTCTAGATACATAACTGCTGTCTACAAAATACAAAAAGAAATGAGATCCCATCAAAAACAATACTTGTCAAAAAAACCAAGTCTCGCAACTCAGTTGTTCTACGGTAAAAAGTTGTGAGATCCATGTAATACCAAGTCCAGGCCAGGAAATCTTTAACGTTTTACATAAATATATTGACTTGGCCATCGCATGAAAACACGTGTAAATTAAATTATTTAGTGCGATGGCCAAGTCAATAATTTATGTAAAACGTTAAAGATTTCCTGGCCTGGACTTGGTATTACATGGATCTCACAACTTTTTACCGTAGAACAACTGAGTTGCGAGACTTGGTTTTTTTGACAAGTATTGTTTTTGATGGGATAATATTTACCGCTTCAGGACGAGTCGGGTACGCGAATGTGACGTCTTTGAACTCGATATCGCCGTAAATTTCGTGGTACTTTATAACTTTTGTGCCCGAAGTGTCCATCTTTGGTTCTTTGTTGATGTACTGAAATTGAAAGAACAACAAACTTATTATACAGTGTCACCAAAAATAACAAAACAAAGTAGCAAAATTAAAATCAGTATATTCGATATTATCTAAATGGAATAATATCGATAGTTTTATCTTTCATAAACAGGTAGTAATGCAAACTATTGGCTATAATTTATAAGTTAGTATCGATAGTACCGTTAGATAGTATCTGTCCTACCGATAGTTAGTATGACTGTTTTTCATGATCAACAATCGATATTCAAACTATAGTTTTGCAACACTATTGTCCAGCAATGCCTTTAGCCCGGTTTCTGAATCAAGATTTTTAAAATTCATCCTTGATATTACAGGGTAGAAACGATAAGTGATCTCACTCGATTATTTCTAAACTACACAAGATATCGAAAAACTGATACTGAAAGTGCTTCACGAGCCCTTTAAAACGGTGTCAATAATAGGATACAGAATAAAAGCTCAATCTGAAAACCTAAACTCAAAAACCAGACCTTTGTTGACCAAAAAATATATCTACAGGGTGTCCCGTAATGTAACGTCAAGCCGGAACTGGGTGTTGAGGCAAGTTATGCTGGTTATCAAAAAAATATAAAAAAAAATCTATGTGGCATTTTGTCAAAATAATAGGCATTTAAAAAAAATCCAAAAATTCTACTCCCGGTGACGGTCTTTTTACTCGTGTTGCCACAAATCTTCACTTTTTCCAATTTTTTTTTATGTTATGTAACCCTGAATAATGCTTCTCTAAATTGTTATCAAAATTACAAAACCAGCTGTTCCAACTTGGATGAAAAAAATACATTATTCCCAAAAAAAATATCAAAATTAAAATTTTGCCTAGTTTAAACTGACTGTACTGAAAAAAAATTGTACTACGCTAGTGTGGCAAGTGACGTCATAATTTGGCGCATTTAGTAAGGATTCCAAAATGGTATAACACTTTGTAAAATCTTGGTGTAATTGTCGACAATTTTTGTTTAATTGGAAATAATCCCGTTTTTAACTTGGTTAAAAATATTATTCTAATGTGCCCAAAATTCAAGTTTCTGGCTTAAGTGAGGTGGAGAAGCCATTTTAAAAGGTATGAGCGGGACGGAGAGGGCCATCTTACCAAGCAGGGATGTTATGGATATCCGTAACCGTAACCGAAACTATCGGATATCCGAAATAAAAAAATGTCCATAACCGTAACCGAAACTGATTCAAAAGTTACGGATAGTTTCGGATAAAGGCCAAACTGCAAAACTCTATGAAATCTGCAGTATACACGCCGCAGCTGCAATGCCGCGCTGCCGATTTCATAGTTTTGCAGTTTGCGGTTGCAGTTTGCGGTCTGCGGCCCGTCTTGGAATTGTACCTTAAATCTTAATATTTGTTACCAACTTGTCTGGCATTCGCTGGCACCATCTAATATGCCAGCCTGTTTTACCTTTATCATACATAGGTGTCGTCTTAGTTGGTACATAAAGTAGCTATGTGGGTCACGCTCACGCAGCATCTTGCTATTTGTATTATACCTACATTTTTGAAATTCTAATAATTCCGTAAGCGAAATTATCCGAAACTTTCGGATAATCTGAAATGATTTCATATCCGTGACCGTAACCGAAACCGGTATAATATTATTCTAATATTCGTAACCGTATCCATAACTGAAACTTCATATCCTTATCATTCCTGTTACCAAGTACAAGTGCAGGCAGAGCAGGTAGTAAAGGCGCGCGCGCACGGGTGACTTTTGTCACAGTATGTCAACTACTAATTACTGTCATGGTGACAAAAGTTTCTGTGACTGACTGTACGGTAGTCAGTCACAGAAACTTGAATTTTGGGCACATTAGAATAATAATTTTTAACCAAGGTAGATAAAGTTAAAAACGGGACTATTTCCAAAAAAACAAAAATTGTCGACAATTACAGCAAAAATTTACCAAGTGTTATACCATTTTGGAATCCTTACTAAATGCGCCAAATTATGACGTCACTTGCCACACTCGCGTAGTACATTTTTTTTAGGTACAGTCAGTTTAAACTAGGCAAAATTTTTATTTTGAAATTTTTTTCGGGAATTATGTATTTTTTTCATCCAAGCTGGAGCAGCTGGTTTTATAATTTTGATAACAATTTAGAGAAGCATTATTCAGGGTTACATAACAAAAAAAAAATTTGGAAAAAGTGAAGATTTATGGCAACACGATTAAAAGGACCGTCACCTAGAGTAGAATTTTTAGATTTTTTTTAAATGCCTATTATTTTGAAAATATGCCACAAAGATTTTTTTTTATATTTTTCTGATAACCAGCACAATTTGCCTCAACACCCAGTTCCGGCTTGACGTTACATTACGGGACACCCTGTATATTTGCTTTAAATATCTCTTTCTTTTTCTCACCTCAAACACTCGACCGCCGGCGCTAACTCCTTTGACGACCGATCCGAACAACAACGATAGTTGTGCGACCGATCGTTGTACTGTTTGCGCGTTGACTAAGAACGCCATGACGTCACCCGCCGACATCTGGCCGGTTGACATCAGGTGGCCGCCGAGGAACATTGTGCCTAACACCATCCTGATAAAGTTCATTTTCGTTTACCACTAGGTACTACAAATACTATGGTATTATTGAACAAAAAAAATGGAAATCGTGAAAAAGCTTACACTCTTTCATTACCTTGTGACGATTCAAATTGCATAAAGAATAATGGCTGAACAAGGCTACTCACAGTTCAAATTTTTTATTGGTTTTTGTATCAAAATCAAAAATATTTATTCAGTTTAGACCACAAGTGGCACTTAAGAACGTCAAATATAGCAAACAATAAAAAGAAAAGGTAGCCCTTATGGGGCACTTTACATGTCTCCTTATCTTTTGGGCTTAAAGGTACGTGAATAAAGCTCAACAAAAAAAACTCACCCTGCATTGCCCTAACCTTTTAAATTGGATAACGGCAAATTCAAAAATATTTACCACAGAAAATAATATTTAATTGATTTTAAAACTTATTCCATGTTAATAAAGTTCAGGAAACAGTTCAGTCGCCACTAAAAAAGAGTTAAAATACTAACCCATTCAAAAACAAGTTAGTTCCAGCCTGGAACAATCCCACTCCCAATCCCAGCTCCATACTTAGATCCGCTGCCTGCTCGCATTCGTTAGCGAACATTCGCGCCTCGTTCTCTTCGCCCGCGAACGCTCGCACGGTCCGCATGTTCGATATCGCTTCTTCCGCTACTAGAGTTGCTTTTTCTATCTGTAAATTAATAGAACTGCTTAAAAAACTCGGTTTTTTACATTTGTTTGGAGCATTTAAAGAGTTATAGGTACTGGTTTTTTCAAGTTTAATATTCTCATATCTTTTAACGTTTAGATTTTTTAGCACGGTGTCCAATTTTTTTTACCCACTACCAGGAAGTTCTTGGTCTGCATCTCAAATGGTCTCATGATGGAAAGTGACGATCAGGCAACGACGACGACGATAGAAGTAAATTTCTAACCCGCCATTTGCGTCAGACGAACCTCAAAACCAATTGCGATTGAGATATGACGCGAAGTCGACACTAGATGCTATTTACCATTTTGCACGAAAATGTACTGTTGAAAATATCAACAAAATTAAATATTCTTACCTGACTCTGAGCCTCTCTCGATAGCTTTCTCAATAGGGAACCGATGAATGTTCCCCCGATGACCACTGATGGGACACACACCAAGGTCAGAGTGGTCAATTGTGGCGATATCACAAGCAGGCTTACCGCTGAACCGATCACCTGAAAACCAATTTAAAATAATCTTGAGACAAAAGTACTATTAGTAAAATAGAACACTGGTGTTACTCTACTTCAATTTAAAAAATATTGTTTAAGTAAAAATTGATTGTTAAAACGTGCGAATTATGTACCTCTTAAGAACTTTAATTTACAATATTTGAACTATGGGTTACATGCAGTAATTTCATTATTAGAAAATGTCTTTCTTTCATTTTTAAGCACAAAATAATAATTGGTAAACAAAATAAATACCTGTGTGATAGCTCTCAAACCACCGGAGATGGTTTGTTTGAAGGAACTTTTGAAATCTTGCACATCCACTGTCAACCTGAAATGGAGAAATTGTTAGCTGCTTACTATTTTAATTAATACAAATGTTTTCTTTATTACCAGTCCCTACCAATTGTCAATGACTTGGTTCTTCTATGGCTCAATCATGGCATGGTAGCATAACAAGCAAACAATCTCATTTATTTTAGGACAACCAGATTGATCAAATCTGGAATATCCTAACTGGAAAAAATTACTCAAAAAATCTTTTAGTGTGTCGAATCTGGAAATTGAACAAAGGACGTCTGGTTTAGAACCACAGAGATGTCTTTGGTGATGATACTACAGTTAATTACCTATTGACTAGTTCTCCAGTTCTCTCACTATCGAAGAAGGCCATGTCCTGTCGCAGTATTGACTCAAACAGGTCTTGCTTCATTTGTAACGCGACTTTCTCTCCCACTTGTGCCAGTAAATGGATGTAGAAGAATGTAAATGCTGCCTGGAAGGAATATAAAGTAAATATGTAGTAATCTTATTTAGAAAGTTGTAATATTATGTGCTATTTTGCAACAAAACTTTTAACTTGATTAATGTCAAGCAGACTTCAAACCTTCAACTAATTGAATATCATACATATTTCTCATTCTCATATTTACTAAGCACAGGATCAGTCCATTTCATGTCTGTATGTATATTTGTTACAAAGTTATTTGCATAGATTGATAGTTATATTTATACAACATTTACCTGTCCAATGTACAATGAAATAAGTTTTAGAGCAGGCATTTTTATTTCTTCTATAAAATCTGCACTTGGATTGGTCTTCATGCTTGCTAGGACGTTGACAATAACACCTAACATCGCTGGAATGTAGACGTTCAGGAAGGCCACAGCCAATGCAGACTGAAAATAAAGAAAATATAATTTATTTTATGGATATTTTTACAAAAACATACAAAGGATATAAAAATTCTAGGATTTTTAGTTAAAGGCAGCAAAAACTATCTTTATTTTTAATTTAGAGAACCACAAAATAAGCATGATAGAAAGTAAACAAGCATTTTGGTTCTTTACTAATAATGCAGATAACACAAATCCTAATCTTAAAACTAAATTAAACACAGTAGAAGATTAAAAAGATTTTCTATGATAATATTAGAAACAATAATAATTTGTGGTTTGGAAATTATACTTACAGCAACAGCAGCAGCCAATACCCATCTATGAGGCCACAGGTATTCAAATAACTTCTTCCAGTCAAACTTTGAACTGTCATCATTAACATTTGGCCTCCGTTGGACTATACGAGAAGTTTGACTAGATTTACAAAATGCAGGCCCATTATTGAACAACACGCGAGCTGCAAGTCCTAAACTTATACCGGTACACAACTTCCATGGACTAAAAATTAAGAATTCACTGCACTTTGCACTCTTTTCTGTTGAAACTTTAAAATCCGAAATATGACGCTTAAGCACGTTTGTCGGTTTACTTTTGAGGACATTTATAAAATAGCCACTGTTCTTCGCTGTTAGCAACCTGAAAATAATTAAATTTCATATAAATAAAGGGAAAAACAATGCGAAATATACGTTCAATAGGTTATAAATATTTACCTCTGTTTTACTAAGCTACAAGAGTGCAATTGCATTAACTGCCACATTTTGGAGGTAAATCTTTATTAGCACTTTCGAAATACTTTAATTTCTGGACATGTTTTAGTTTTAAAGATAGTAATTTTACGTAATTATTGCTGAAAAAATTGATTTGGTTTCAGGGACGAACTTGAGCTTGAGTCAATGTCATTCATGGTTGTCAAACTTGTCATCTTGTCATCTGTCTTGCGCAAAACTACGCCCTCTATATTTCCTAATTAAGCACATTTTTTTAGTTATAAAATCTAGATGGCCCTTTCATTCATAAAGTTTCTATCGCTACTTGCTCAATAGATGGCACTACCTACCTCACCCAGCAATAACCACTATAAAATTAAACCCAAAAGAGATTTATTTTTAGCAAATCTAGCTAACATTATGTATCGTAATCATAGATAGTTATTTCCATAAAATAAAATTACTCGTACTTACATACAAAGTATTAAGTATCCAATCCAGCTTCTATTCATAATAATTGTTATTTCTAAAATTAGGTTCACAGAGGTTTCTCAAAATATTAAGGAAACTTTTAATTATTACAGGTACCTAACTGGTTATTATTATTAAAGTAATTGAATTCTTGGCAAGTATCACTGCTCAATGTATTTATTTTACTCCCTTTGGTGAACAGATGGTCAAAAGCCCTATGTACCCAGTTTTTGGCGCCAATCTAACTATTGTTTAACTGAAGTGGCGCGAATTAAATGTAATTATTTGGATTGCTGAGCTTTTCAAGCTTATAATTTTATTTTATTTTCCATTTATTGAATACTAGACTGAGGGTGTAAATTATTTATTTCGTATTGTTGGTATCGTGCATTGCTTCATGCGTTTGAAAATAAAAATTACTTACAATATTCAATCATGTTTTTTTTTAACTTTTATTTATAACAAGACATAATTAAAATGCAAGATTTTACACCTAGCTCTATTCTTTTCTGGACTAGGTATACGACAAAACAAATGTACCTACCTACTGAAAATAAGGGTAGTGACTTGTTCCAAAATAAGTCAATATCATCGACCAATAAATCAATATTGGTAATGAAATAACCAGCTAAATGGCATCAATAACTGGCCATATGCCAACAAACAGTGGCATCATTACAAACAACAAATTCCCTCATATCCGCCATAGCTTAATACTGTAATTTATAGTGTCGCTTCACACCGCACTGTCTCCCTTTTTGACCCGTATTCATAAGCAACGGGAGTTCGTAACTTATTCTATACTAGCTTTCCAACTGCGGCTTCGCCCGCGTCGAATTTTTCGGTTTTTTATAAAACCTATGACACTCAGCAATAATATGGTTTTCTATTGGTAAAAGATTTTTAAAATCGGTTCAGTAGATCCCGAGATTACACCTTACAGTTTAACAAATTAATATACAAACACACAAACTTTACCTCTTTATAATATTAGTATAGAAGTATAGATATTACTAGCTTTCCGCCCGCGGCTTCGCCCGCGTGGAATTTTGTCTGTCACAGAAAACTTTATCGCGCGCGCGTCCCTGTTTCAAAAACCGGGATAAAAACTATCCTATGTTCTTTCCCGGGACTCAAACTATCTCTATGCCAAATTTCATCAAAATCGGTTGCGAGGTTTAAGCGGGAAAGCGTAACAGACAGACAGACAGACAGACAGACAGACAGAGTTACTTTCGCATTTATAATATTAGTTGGGATGGGATAGTTGGGATGCCTCTGTGGCACCAGAGTTAGTGATTTTTCTCGACTAAGCAAAAGCACGGGACGTCTTTTTAATTGGCAGAAAAACCTGAAAAATGAAATAACGCCATTTTGTAATACAGATACAATATCTAAAAAAATATTTCAATAATTGAAACAATGTTTGAATTAGGCTACCTCATTTAACTGAATATTAAGCAAAAAGAGAGCCAGCCATTTTAAAATAAAATGTACCTAATCTGTAACATAAGAATAAATAAAGTAAAAATAAATCCTGTATTTAGTACTAGCTGACCCGGCGAACTTTGTTCCGCCTTAATGGCAATAAATAAGCAGACTTTTTTTTAATTTCGAACGGGATAAAAAGTATCCTATGTCCTCCTGGCTCTAAACTAGCAGTCGCAGCTCCTCACGGGACATGGCAACTTTAAACATAAACTTCACGAATTCCAACTAGTTTCGTCTCCTATTTGCGAGTGTTCCACTGATGATGTCAGTCATGAGCAGTCTGCCCATCTTTGGAAACATGAATGTGATATAATGCTTAATTCAATACAACATGTTTCCGCAATTTATTACACCGATCTTGTCGCGACAAGGAAAAATTTCCGAGCTTTTAAGCGATTTTGTGAAAAATATTATTGGCAGGTAGTTGCTAATTGCTCATAAGATTAAGTCTAATCAGGCCCCCTTAATTTAATTTATTGTCCGTGGTGCATAATCTTTTTCTTAAAGGTTTTAAACCTTTGTTTGTCACCTGTCATCCGCTTTGCAATGGAGGGAAGTCGAACCTTAATTTCGAACTCCTCCTATGTTCTTCTGATTAATTTCGTTGCGGGTCCAATGACAGTTTAACTTTCCCCCGGGACAAACTTGACCTTCATTGGTTGGGTTTTTGTGGTGGCGGTCAAGCTGTAGATCTTGGCTACACAGGAGTTGCAGTGGTGGGAACGAGAGGTGGGAATAGTCCCGTTTTGGCTCTAAACTACCTCCCTGACAATTTTCAGCTAAATCGGTTCAGCCGTTCTTGAGTTATAAGTGGTGTAACTAACACGACTTTCTTTTATATATACAGGGTGTTTGGTAAATGGGTATATGAGCCGACACTAGCCCATGTTAACATGGGCATATAAATGGTATGGTGAAGTTAGAAAATTGATATCTGCGTTTTAATTATTTTTATTTTCATATAAATCGGATTTTATAAAATTTATTTTGTATGAAAATTAAAAAAATTAAAATGATGATATCAAATTTCTGACTTCACCATACCATTTATATGCCCATGTTAACATGGGCTAGTGTCGGCTCATATACCCATTTACCAAACACCCTGTATAGATTAAAAACACTTAATATTTTTTTCTGTATGAAAATGAAAATTATTTTCAAAAAACAAGGAGAGCAAATAGCAAACTATGTTTTTATACCCTGCTAAAACCTCCCTTAGTTTATAAATTCGGCCCCTCGTCCTAGCAGATCGTTAGGGCGTGACGTCACCAAACGCAGTAGGATTACTGCACTTTTATTGTGTGTAAATAATATGCGGAGAGCATTCTGTGCGTATGTTGATGAGTTTTTAATTTTTGTTGGCAACGGAACAAATGGGGATGTTGCCTGGGTCAAAAAGCAAGAGTTTTAATTAGTCCGTCAGTTAACTTATCAAAAAATACTCTACACGTATTTTTCACTTTTTCAAACTAATGAAAATTTAAAGAGATAAAGCGCCCCAAAGTTCATAAGAAGAGGCCCGTGACGTCAACGCTTGCTTAAAAATGCCGCACGTTGTGACGTCGTGCGCAACTTCAACGCACCATAACTATGTAATTATTTGTTAGATTGACAAATAAAAATATGTGTCCAATATTTTTTGATATTAAACATTACGGACTAAAAAAATTTTTTTAGGCAACTAGCCTATTGGCAGTAGCCGGTAGCCTATCCTTCCTAACTGTATGAAAATGGTTATAAATGTATCAAAGACACTCCCTTATTAATTAATCTTGATTTTATTTGTTGTGGAATTTTCGAAAACAAAATTAACCTTCGAAAACCGTCCAAACCAAACTTTCGTTTAGTCCTTAAAATTATGAGTACCTAATATATTGTAGACTAACAAAATATTAAGGTTCTGTTTGTGTGAATCTTTAGCGTAATAGCAAGTCGCTGAAAGCTTTAATTGAAAGCTGACAGGCACAAAGTAAAGGTTACTTGTTTTCATGAGTTTACTCTGATTTCAATTATGCAGAAGTCTCTATCCACGACTGTTTTTACACCAGCTGTCTCTACGCAAGCATTAAACAACAGGCGGATCCAGTACGCAATAAACTCGGTAATCGGATTACAGGACACTTGCGAGCCAAGTGTTTAATGAATTGGATTATGGACGAATCTGATTCCCGGTTATCGGCTGGAGTGCGATAAAATGACGCTTGGAGAATATAGAGTGAAAAAATATATTCAAAATACGTTTTGTGAACCACAGGGTCCACAGGTACATAGGTTGTCATATTATAAATGGATGTACATCGGCGCCTTGAAGGCATACAAAGATGAAAAGTTGCGCTACAAAAAATACTGAAGCACAGAATAATAATGTATCGTGGTTTAAAATAGAAATGAAAGCACATGCCACGGATTATGGAATGATCTGAAACTTGTTTTAATAAGCTAAGTAGTTTTCATCAGGTGAGATGCAAGCCAAGAGCTTCTCTGTTGAGGATAAAATAAAATGAAAAAAAACACCTCTCGATTTTTTAAAATAAATGATGTTTTTTTAATCAGTGATGATAATGTAACGGAATTTATAGTGCATAAAGGACATCATCCATTTTGGTCCAAAATCAAAAGTGCCGGCCAAAAAATAAAAGTGCTGTATTCTGATAGAATACGTCTGCCTTAGCATTTATTACTATGGCACCAAAGCTGTAGCACCACTGTGCATCGTAGTATTTGAGTTCTAAAAATATATGAAACGACTGACTTTGATCTCAAATACTACGACGCACAGTGGTGCTACAGCTTTGGTGTCATAGTAAAAAATGCTAAGGCGGACGTATTCTGTCAGAATACAGCACTTTTTTTTATTGGCCGACATTTTTGATTTTGAACAAAAAATGTATGAATCGTCGATGAATTTTAGATCTCAAATACTCGACGCACAGTGGTGCTACAGCTTTGGTGCCATAGTAACAAATGCTAAGGCGGACGGATTCTGTCAGAATACAGAACTTTTTTTTATTGGCCGACACTTTTGATTTTGAACAAAAAATGTATGAATAGTCGATGACTTTTAGATCTCAAATACTCGACGCACAGTGGAGCTACGGCTTTGGTGCCATAGTAACAAATGCTAAGGCAGACGTATTCTGTCAGAATACAGCACTTTTTTTTGTTGGCCGGCACTTTTCATTTTGGACCAAAAATATATGAAACGTGGATGAT